AGGAAAAATAGAAGTAGGAAAAGCTCATACTTGGGCAGAGAACAAATTTAAAAACAAAACCCTCAAACCAATAAACTCCTTCTGGGCAGGAGATTTGGAAGACTTGGCTGTGTACAGGGCATTCCTTCCCTCAAAGCTGGAAAGGAGAAAGCTGCTAGAAAAACCACATCTTGTTGGCTGTGTAAGGAAAACACCAAGATTCATTCTCCCCGCCTCCCCCGCGCCCCTTATTCAATTACACAAAGCCAGAAAGCTGAGCTGTCTTGGTTAGCAAAGTGCTGACGAGAGGATGTCAGCAGGAGGACGATACCTGAGATACGATCTGTGGTCAGTGCTCGCTTCCTCCCCAAGGCCATACACTCTTTGTTCAACCAGTCCTGCAGTGAAGGAAGGGCCTCTGGGTTGGGTCTAGGAATCATGGGGACCCTAGCCGGGGCAAGAGGGCCTTCGATAAATGGGAATTTTCATATCAACCAGAAAGACACCTCCTGGTTGTCCCCAATAAGGATATAGCATTTGGCTCTTCTGTTATCCTTAATGGGACTTGCTAGAAGAGGAAAGAAAGAAAAAGGAAGGAAGGAAGGAAGGAAGGGAAAGGAAAGGAAAGGAAAGAAATGGTGAGCGGAGAGAATCAGGGATCACACAAGGAAGGAAAAAGTGGAACGTGTCAAATCTGTCAACTCCTTGACCTCTTAATCAAGCCACGTTTTGGATTCCTGAAAGCGGGAGGAGCAGCAGGGTTGAAAGTGTCTAGCCCTCCCTCCCAGGCTGGCTTGGCCCACTTCTCAAATCTGAACAAGGCCTGGCTCTTTGCTCCATCTTTCCCTGTGTTAGCACCTGCCCCGAAACCCATGAGAAGGATCTGAATTCCCAGAGCAGCAAGAAACAAGAGGGGTGGCCCCAATAAACGGCTACCTCTTCTTGAGCTCTTTAACATGAGACCTGTTTCCAGGCACAGAAAAAGAACACGACGACAAGGATGGAACTTCCAAGGGAAGGAAGAGCAGGGGTGCTTGGCCCTTGGCCCTTGAAATGCCTTGGAGGTCCCCTTTTGCAATGCATGGCGGGAAATATGGACGGCGACACACAGGTCTGAAGATGCACAGAAACCTGAGGCCACACGGAAGCAGAGAAGAATCCGCACTTTTCGCTTTGCTTTCCGGTGGGCTCTGTGGATCATGACGTTCACCTGAAGGCAATATGGGGGGATGTGCAATTAAGAATGTGTCGCTCCACATCTGTGGTTTTGCATTACACCGAATGCACACCTAGAACCTACATGGGATGTAACAGTTCATGAGGTTCTTAAACGCTAAGCCTGACGGCAAAGAGAACACGGGAGCAAAAGCTGTTTCTCGAAAACCCTCTTTCCCTGATGCAGGCCGCGGATTCCAGAGACTCAAGCGCAGAGCAGACTCCAGCCGGCCTCCGGCTCCTGTGACTGCATTCCACACAGTTTAAGGCTGCAAGGCTGCCTTTGTGGCACGGAGGTTGGCTTCAGTCCGGAGTGGCAGCTGCAGGCAAGCGGAAGCAGCCACTCAAACGACGACGGCAAGGAGACTCACAGAAAGCCAAAGACAAAGCACGCCGTTGTGTAAAGAGACAGCAGACGCCGAGAGAAGTTAACGAGCGACTGCTGCATGTGGAAAGCCACCCACCCTTTATGCTCCAGAAACAGCCCAAACCTCCAGGGATTCTGGAGCCCGGGGGACACGACAGAGTGGAGCCCTTGTATGGGCTCCGTTTCCTCCATACCGTGCCTGAGAAATCCAGTCTTCCCCATTGGCAAATCACAAACATTCCCTGGAGGGGCATGTCTGCAAAGCCCTGTGCTAAAATCGGGGTGGGTGAGTCTCCCACCTGCAAAACGACCAAAAGGGATGAAGGAAAAAAAAATGAATGATGCAAAACCCCTTCCCTCTGTTTGATTAAAAGGTTCTGAGACGTCTCATACACCCGGGTGCACTTTTAAAGGAGAAGAAAACTATTTGGGAAGAAAAGGATGCTTCAAACATAAATTTCCAAAAAGGATGGATAAAACTAATTTATTGGAATGTGCTCATTTACGGCTAGATAACGAAACGTGAATGTGTTAAAGGAAACACAAGAGGGAGGAAATGGAGAAAGAATAAGGACTGGAGGACAACAACGATCTCAAAATCAGCAAATGCCGTAATTTTTTTAAAAAGGACACTCCCCCCCCCAAACTCCATCGCTCTGTTCTTAGTTGCCCTACAACCCCTCACCTCCTTCCCACCTCGAGCCCAACACCTTGCCTTCACATCAGGCTTTTCCTGTACTGAGTCTGCACGTTCTGTCTGGTTTTCGGATCCGAGAGCTGCGGTTCGAGCTGTTTGTACAGGTCTCTGAGCTCTGTGAGTTCCCGCAGAACTTTCTGCGCTTGGCTCCAGTTTGACGAAGCCTCTCCCAGCAGCCTCTCCGTCTCCTGCAAGATGGCCTTGGAGTCCAGCTTGGAAGACGAGGAGGAGGAGGAGGCGGATGAAGTGGCCGTCGGGGTGGCTGGGCCGGACTCTTTCCCCTTCCGCTTCTCTTCCCCATAGCCCCTCACCTCAGTTAGCAGTTCCTGCGTTTTTTCAAGTTTCAATGCAACAAGTTCTTGTATTCGATTCAGCTGCTCCGGCTCAGCCGAGGCGATCTGATCCTCGAAGCCCTTCCTGAGAACCGCCCGGTGTGCAGAGGAAGAGTCCCGACAGGACAAGATCTCCTCCATGGAGGCACACTTGTTCTTTTCCGAGTGAGTGAGCTTCTTTGGGACCTGGGGGGTGTACATGGTCCCTTTTTCGAAGGCCTCATTGCGTTGGGAGAACTCCTCCCAGGAGGTCACCTCTCGCCGCGTGAGGCTGCCGGTCTGGCTCCTTTCCGGTGCTTTGATGTTTTCCGAATCTGAACGCCGTCGCCCAGCCGTCAAATGAGCTACTGATTTGTCTAAGTCCACCCGGAAGTTCTCCTCACAGGCGCCATGATCTTCCGGGGGAGAATCCTCTTCCTGGATCAAGTCGAGGGTCAGCATGCCATCAGACGTTGAGGTAGATGCCTGCAAACAGAGAGAACAAGCCTGAAGGGTATGCCATGTCATGCCAGCAAGGCTGGAAATCTTGTCTTCGTTTTTACTTCCAATGTAATTTATCCAAGGATGGCAACTTCAGGCTGGCGAGAAGCATCCTAAGAATTTAGGAACAATGGAGCCCATGACCTCGGGAGGGGACAATGGCAGCGTTCAAGAGAAAACTGGACCACCCTCTGTCAGATCTGCTTTGATTTGGATCCCTGCGCTGGTGGGGGGGGGGGGAGAGTTGGACGTGGAGGCCTTTGGGGGCCTTTCCAGCTCTATAATTCTGTGGTTCTAAGGAGGGTAGTTGGTTGGAGGTCAGTCAAACAGAACTTGAATAAACCTTCTGCTTATGGGTCTCCCTTTCCCTCCCTCTCAGCAATTGTGGGAACAACTTGCAAGGACACAGAATCTATACCGCCGTGAGCCTCTCGGAGATAAAACGCTAAGAAGGTAACGTTCTTCAGGGTAACCCTTAAAAGTAGCCTAAAAATAATTTTAAATAAATAAACATGGCAAGAGTGAGGATGCAGTTATAACGAAGGGAAACCTAGTTCAGATCACAGTGCATCTGCACTGAATGGTTACCACCGTTTGATGCCACTTCATCCACCCAACTTTCTTGTTCGGAGAAAGGCTCTGAGCGTTCCAGCAGGGAACTCGGAGACCCTCTCGCTAAACTACGAACCTCAGGCCTCCACAGGAAAGAGCCGAGGCCATTCCAGTGGCCTCGACGTGCTGTCCGCTCAGCAAAGCAGATGCAATCTATGAGACAAATGGAGAACTTCGGGAGACCCTTCAGTCTATGAGACTCAAACTGGCCAGCCGACACCACTAAGGGGAGTGGAATGTACTGGAATAGGTGAGGCGAGGCTGCCTGATGCCAAGAGCAACGGGAAGAACCAGGGAAACGGGTGCGAAACATTGACCCATGGTTCCTTGACAGGAGCATCTATGTATGGAGTCCCATTCAGTAGGCTCATGGACACACAAACACACATGTATACCCACCCTGGGGGCAAACAGAACAAAAGTGCACAGCTATGCTGGCCCACAAAGGAATTCTCTTTGCTACCAGTTCTGAGTATTTTTGGTTAACAAAACATGGAAGTGGGTGGACTCTCCTTCTTTGGAAGTTGTCAACATAGGTTGGGGGGGTAGCTGTGGATTTCCTGTATCAGTGAAGGACATGCAAGACTAGAAGTCCTTTCCAAGTCTTTGGTTCTAGGAGTCTGGTTCCTGAAGGTACGCACCACAGCCATCAAATGCCCCCTTGTCGGGGGCCGCCTGGAGTGCTGGATCTTTGCTCGGTCGCGCGTTGGGTGTGCAAGGTAGCTTTCCTCCTCTACTGTGACCTGGAAAGCAACAGAAGCACACCGTCAGCCACTGCAAGGAGAGACTTCACAACCCCAGTCAGGGCAGCAACTAGAGCTGGCTGACTGCATCAAGGTGAATTATTTATCCCTGCAGTTTTGGTTTTCCACTCCCTGCTTCCCCATCCGTTTCTCCTGGAACTTTCTGATGTATTCATTACAAAAGCTAGCTGGGATTTCCTTGGGTGGAAAGGGGACATGGCCCACCTTCTGGCCCAGGCTGTCCCTACTGCGAAGATCGCAAACCCTCCAGAGGAAGAGGCCAGTCCAAGGTGTACTGTTGGCAAACGTTTAGGGCAAAACCCCTCTGGTTCCTGCACACACCATGCGCGCAACCATGCACTGAGCAAAAGCATTTCTTCAACACAGTACATGGTTAAAATACAGAATCAGTATGTTGCGATGGTTGCCAACTTGGGTGGCTTTAAAATCATGGAGGATCGTCAGGATGGGTATCTATCGCCACCTGTATCAGAGGCAGGATAGTTCTGCAAATCATTCAGTAGGGAGCACGGGCCAGAGGTTGTGACTTCACTCCTGTCCTGTGGGGTCCAGTTTCTCTGGGCTTCATAAAAACTACATCTGATCCAAACCATTCCTTCTGTTCCTTCTGGGGGGAAAAACGCCTGCACCCAACTGGCTGGCTGTTGGGTAAGCAGAACGTTGGACTAGGTGGACCACTGGCCTGATCCAATTTCTGGCTCTTCTTATGATCCCCTTCTTGAAAAATAAGAATAAACACATGAGCAAAAAACCCCAGAGGCGCTATTCAGATCCACGCTGTGCACCAGATGGCGCAGAAACGGTCTCAGGGCTCCAGCGTTTCATTCATTTTCTGTAAGCTTGCCTTAAAGACTCATTGGGATCAAAATCAGGGACAGAAATCAAGTCCAGCTACTTGTCCTGGGCCAAGTAGATCTTCCCCCTAAATTCAGTAGTAAAGAAGCAACACTCTCTGTGGAGCGATTTCCTCCCCCCGCCCCCATTCACATGCACACTGACTGAGTCACAAGCCCACGGAGGCAATGGTCAAAAGAGAGACAGATGGCCCAGTGAGATCAGAGAGGCAGCAGACGGCGGTTTCGGTTCTTTCTTTCTTTCTTTGCAGCGCTTAAGAGCTCTTCAGAAACAGGAGCAGCTCTGGACATAAGCTGAGGTTGCAACATGTGGAGGGGGGCCACCGGGATGGGTTACGAGGAGCAACGACAACAAAAAAAGACTGACAGCTTACAGAAGCGAAAGGGCAAAGGGACGCAACAGGGTGAGAGGGTGAGCTTTCCTGGACCGGAACAAGAGCCACCACCCATGAGGAAAGAGGACACTTTTCTGGGGCTGTCGGATGGATGATTTGTGAAGCATTGTGGAGTTTGTGGTTACTCAGTCATTGGTTGGGGTTCAGACAAGGGACGATGGGCACTGCAATGGCACTTTGGCCCAGCCTACGGATCTCCGCCGCCGCCCGCCACCGTCACAGCTTTTCCCCACGTGGCTGCCTCTAAAGATTTTACAGGGAGAGCATTGCAGCCTCAGTCCCAAACTCAACAGAAAGACCACCCAAGTGAGCTCACTTACTTCGTCCAAGATGCGGTTTTTGGCCCGGGTGATGGCCGAGTTCAGAGCGTTGATCCAGGACTCCTTTTCTTCGGGACTCACAGCCAGGAAGACGAGGTTCGGTGCCTAGGAGAGAAGGAGTTGGCACCGGCCACTAAAACAGACCTTCCCGTCTCTCCCAATCCTCTAAACCCTCAGGTGTGCAAATGACAGCTTGCTGCACACGGGAAGGGAAAGTGTCTTCTCATACTTTGAGCTGTAGGAGCTGGGGCAGCCGACCTGATCCTAAGTCCATCTACCAAGCCTGCAGAGTGTGGGGAGATCCTGGTGGCACGAGGGGCAGGAGAGGTGCTCTGGGTTTTAGTCGGACCTTTACAGTGCTAGCGGAAGCCCTGAGTGGAAGCCAGGGTGGGGTGGGGAGAGGAATCAGCACCATGGATAGCTCCTGCAATATTTAGACTGAAAGCAGGCGCAGATGAACGTCCCCAACAACAAGAAAAACCACCACCCCAGCCCTAGAGGCTTCAGCCTTTGCTGCCTTTTGCCCAGTCTTGTCTATTTCAAGTAGAAGCTGTGGCTCTCTTGAGGAGGAAGACGGGAGATACATATTTTAAATAAATAAATAATACCCAGGAATGCTGCTGAGAATTGATTGAAATGGCGGATTTCTGCATGGAAAGGAGGGGCTCTGCCCCAGATTTCTTGGGGCCCACAGGCTTCATCCTCAACATCAGTCTGTTCTCCACCCTGAGCCCAACTCATCCCCCTTCTACTCTGACCAGCACTGGGTGTGTGTGTGTGTGTGTGTCCTTGTGATCTCAAGGCAAGGAGGGGGTTCAGCTCTCCAGCCCCCAGGATTCAAGACAGTTCTGACAGAAATGGGGGAAGGGGAGGGCTTCCTGGTTTCTTTCCACACGAAAGACACAGGATTACAGAAAAGGACACAGAGTCCTTGACCACGGGTGGACGGGAGCAAAAAGACCTTACTGTGTTCCCGGGCTCCTTGGAGTGCGTGAGCAAGAACTTGCTGTAGTTCTTCTTGCTTCTGCTTTTAGATTTCCTGAGTTCTTCACATTTCTCATAATCGTTCAAGTCAAACACTTCCTGAATGTTTTTCTCATCTTTCACCTGCAGACCAAGAAACCACAGGCAAAAATGATGATGATGATCATCATCATCCTTCTTTGCTTTCCACTGAAATGGAACATTCTTGACTGGCCACCAACTGAACGTGGAAGCCTATTTTCTAAAAGGAATCGTTGCCCTCCAGTTTCCTTGCCTTTCATGCTTTACTTGTGCTATTAGTTGATGGGGTGGAAAGATGGGGGGGGGATTAGATGAGGATACAGGTTGCCAACCTCTTAGGAAGGTCATCGGAGTCAATGTCCCTCCCGAAATAAGCCCAGCTAGAATGCCTCAAAGCCCATCAACTCTGGACAACAAACGGTTGCCATCATCCTGAGCCTGAGGGCAGGGTCATTCACCCTCAGCTTTTCATCCGTTAGGAAGCTGAACTGCTCCGAGCTGCATCTGGAGTGGGGAACGGTCAGCTCCATGCTCTACTCCATGGTACTTGTGATGGCACCCCATAACTGTCGCCCCGGGTAGAGCTGTTTCTAAGAGTGCATCTCATTCCTTCGTACATGCCATTGATTTTTGGAGGAAAAAGGAGAGGCACCAGGGCTCCGAGCTTAGCCGATGCAGCCCCGTTCTTTCCTTGCATGTTTTGGAAGGAAGCACAACAGAGGAGGAGGAGGAGGAGGAGGAGGAGCACTGGGTCTATTTTTAATCGGGCCAGATTTCTGCAGCAGGCAAGAAGGAAGGCTCCTTGAAACAGCTTGAAAGACACATAGCGAGGGCTGGATTTGCAACACATGAAATAAACCACCTCTTTTGTTGCTAAGCTTCCCTTCCTCTTGAGAAGACATTAGCCTCTGAAGGAATTCAACACCAGTGCTGAAGAACACAGATATGGGGGGGGGGTCTGGGCCTGGGGGGGAGCAGTGTCTCACTCCTTCCTCAAATCCAAAGAGAGAGCCTCCCCCGGGCATGGGAAGCCTAACGGTGAGCCCCGGCAGACCTCCTCTGGGTAATGCGGGGCGGCTGCTGTTTATGTGAAAGCAGTCTTCAATAAATAGGCAAGCTCCTCGGTTTCACAACACTGCTGGGCAGAAATGCAGATATTTCCCTGCTGCTACACTGGCCTTTCCCAATCCCGGGGCACAACGTCTTTGCTCCTGATCCTTGGCCATGCCAGCTGGGACTAATGGGATATGTAGTCCAAACCACCCAGTCCTTTTCCTGCTAGGGCCAATGGTGCCTTGAGAGGGGTGGACACTGGCTTAATTTTGTACCCATTTGTCTCCTTTGACCTGCGGTCGTAAGACTTGTTGGCTAGAGACGGGTCACAGAAAACAATGTCAGGAAACGGTGCCATTTTTAACCTTTTTCAAAAAGTATTTTTGCTCTGTACTCAGCCAGAGGGAAGCCGGCTGGGAGAGTTGGGGAATCTTTCCCGACACATTTCAGGGTCATCTGGGAGGGGAAAGCAAGCAAGCAAGGGTGTGTGTGTGTGTATTTGTGTCTCTCTGTGTGTGAGAGAAGAAAAAGCACCAGGGATGGGTGAGAGACAACTTAATGGAATTCCTGTCAGGCCATCCAGAAAAAAAAGGCGTTTTCTCCATTGCGCAGCGTGGGGAGGAGGGGGAATAACCGTATCGATTGTCGTTTACATCAGGCTGACCTGACATAGCTTCTTCTGCACAGCGCTGGCTGCCTCGTGTCTCTCCAGAATCGATCTTGGGGAGGGAAAAAAAACAACCCGCGTCCAGGGCATGCATGTGTCTTTGTGATCGAAGGGAGCAGAAGGGAGGACGTGCGCTCTGGCGTTCTCTGTCTCCCACAAGGGGATCCAGCTAGAGGTCTCCTAGGAGGGGACAGGAGGAGGGCGTACATAGCAGTAAAAAGACACCCCCACAGGTGGCAAGAAAACTGGATGTCAGACACGTAACGTCCCTTCCCTCTAAACCACTCTGTCAATTCAGCGCTACTTTACAAAATGCGCGGGACACGGAGATCTTCCTGCCGGCCCCTCTGTTTCCCAGTGAATTCCTCTGCTGGTCAACGAAGCAACTGGGGGTTGAGTAACGCAGCACACATGCCATGTTTGCACGATGCAAGACAAGTTTCCTGTGGTTTGTGGGAAGAGTCACCCTATTTTCACTTAAAGCCCTCCCAGCTGGTCACTGAGTTCTAGGCGAGGTGTTTTAGCCTTTCAGGAAAGCACTCGTTTAGAAAAAAATCGGAAGGAACCCACCAAACAATAGTGTCATGGGTAGGTGGTGTATCCATCTGGAACATCTCAGACAGGAGCGTATGGAGACCCCAGGCGGGCTGGATGGAACCCCGGTCTCCAAGGCTCCCTTGCCCTTGCTCTAGAGGACACCTCGTTTCCTGAATAGTTTTAATTTAAATGAAAGACAGACGGAGGGGTTAATGATTCCATGTCCCAACCGGGACATCCGATGTGATGGTGGCTGGAAAGGACACACGGACACTGCCTCCCTCACACATCAGTAAACATAGGCTCTGCCTCGCACTCTCGTTTGAAAAGATCCTGCAAGAAGCAAGCTCAGCTGCCTCTCAAGTCTATTATCTCTGTGTTAACTAAACTCTGGGCATTGTCTCCAAGGAGCAGCCTACCACAATGGGTGTTAAAATTAGGTATCCTGTAAGACTGATGGAATGTGTTCCTCTAAGATTTGACCAGGGGCTCACAGTTGAAAGGCTGAGGAGATCTATAGCTAAACAGAGAGCTAAATGGAACTTCCAGACTCAGGAGCAGGCTACCACTGAATATTAAAAATTAGGAGACATTGGAGTGGCTGTTGCTTTACAAATCCCTGCCCCATGGATGTCCTAGAGTCCAAAGTGAAAAACAGGGCATTGGACTTAGCTAGGACTTTCGTCTCATCCAGAAAGAATTTCCTACGTTTTTTTTGTTTTTAAATTATGTTTCTAGTCCTCAGGGTTAAGGAGGTTTGAACACTCCTGAACAGAAATGGAACATACCTGTTTTTTGGACTACAACCATCAGAATTTTCATTACTGCCACTTTGGATGTGATCCAGAAAATTAAAAGGGAATTAAACATTTCCTCCTATCTCTCTTTGAGACATCTCAGACAATTAATAGAATAGAAGAATTTGAACGATCCCCACCCTGGAGTGTGTCACTGAAAAAGCAGAAGCAGCTAATGAAATCGGGATGGATATACGAAGCGGCCTCACTTTTATGACTCATGCAGGGCACAGATTCGCCTTTTCTCGGGGTCTAGGCTGCTTGAGCAAGGAAGAGTGTCATTCTTATTTTCAGCCTAGAGGACACCCAGTCCTGAGTATGGACTGGGAGGGACTTAAAATGAGGAAGAGTACAGAACTCTATTTTTATTTTTAAAGTCTGCACACAGAATGGAACAATGGCCACCCCCGGAAAGACTTCTCTTCTCTTCTCCCTTTGCCTCCACCTGCTCCGCTATCCATCATGCCATCCGTCCTAGAGAGATCGGATGTCCTGTAACGAGAGCCGGCCCTGGAGCGCCTCTCTGTCTAATCACTCTTGCGCATCTCTAATGCCTGAGTTTCCTACCACCCAGGGACCCGTTTGGTTTCATGGTAATTAAGCGCTGTTTCCGTCTGAAGAGCCTTTGGCTTCGCTCTCCTGCAGGCCTCCCGCCCGTCGGACAAGGTCTACGTCCAGGTTAACGGGCTTTTCTCTCGTATTCTGCCTACTCCCTGTCTCCGTGGCTTGGCCTGGCCCATGGGCCGAATGCAGACTTGTAGCTTATTGGGGCTCGGCCCCTTTCTTTCTTTCTTTCTTTCTTTCTTTCTTTCTTTCTTTCTTTCTTTCTCTTTCATTTTCTCTCTCTCTCTCTGCACAACAACTTAAGGCCCACGTGGGCAAAATGTGGCACTCCAGATTGCTAGACTACAATGCCCATCATTCTGTCCCCAAGAATAACTGCTACAGGAAAGATTTCCGTTTAGGGGGGCGAACCCTAGCCTTGCATGTAACATGTACTTTGGAGTGCTGAACAAGAGAGCCACTGATCCCCAAACTAGCTCCTGGTGGTCAACTTTAAGGCAAGGCGATGGAGCCCCCAGTTCTGAAGAAGGACTCCCGTCCAGCCACCAGCCCTTCTGAACCAGGGGCTCCAGCCCAGGGGCCCAACCCTTCCCCCCTCCGGGCACCCCAGCATAACCCCGATCGCCGCCCCGCCAGGCAACTCTCTCTGCGGCTTCCCTGCCCTCAACGGCGCCGGCAGTGGGGTCGGCCGAAGGCTCCTCGAGGGCTCTCTTGCCAAGCTCTGAGCCGCCCCCCCCGAGACATTCCAGGTCCCCCTTCTTAAGCACTGGAGGGGGGGGTTGTCTCCTAGGAAGGCAAGGTCCAGGGGTCCAGCGAGGGGGCAGAGGGCTCTGGGCCAAGCCCCTGTGAGGACGCTGGGCTTGGCTGGCCTTGGCCACCCCGGAGCTCCCCCCCCACCTGCACAAAACAAGGGAAAAGCCTGCCCACCCTAGGAAGGCCAGCCTGCAACAGCTAAGACCCTTGGCTGGCTTGCTCTGCTGGGGGGGGGCTCCTTCCCCTCCCTCCCTAATTTCCCCTTTTAGAGATCTGGCAATTAGGCATGAGGTGTGTCTGGGGTGGGGGTGGCGGTATTGCCATCTGGATACATCCCCCCCCTTCTCCTCCAACATCCACGCAAAACAAACCCAACCACCAAGGCTGGGTTGCAGAACCAGCAGTGGGGAGAGAGGGTGGGGGGGAGAGGGAGAGGGTGGCCCTCCTTCAAGGGAGAGGAGCGGAGACGGGTCTCCTACCTCCTTCTCCGAGATGTACAGCTGGTCCCCTTTCAGGACCACGTAGCGGTTCTTCCAAATTTCCCGAAAAATGCCTTTCCCACAGAATTTCCGGACCCAGCCGACTTTCTCGGGCTGCGCTGGCTGCTGGCTTCCATCCTGGGGCCCCTAAAGAAAACAAGAGCAGGAGGAGAGGGCGGCTGGGTGAAGGAACCCATGGCTTGGGGTGGGGTGTGGGGGGGTGGGAAGCAAAATCCCCCCCACCTCCCCCAGTGTTGCAGAATGGCTTCTAGCTCTTCCCGAAAGTGGCTGCCAGGCTGGGCAGCGCTCCCTTTCCACAGGGTGTGTGTGTGTGTGTGTGTGCATTTGATGTCCAATGTGTTTGCCCGCGCTCTCTCTAGACAAGGAGAAAGCCATGAAACCGAATCAAGGGTTGGCTCTCCAGCC